GAAAACTTATCTTGCCACGGATCATTCTAGACAACTTCTCGATTTTTAAAAGGGTGCCAACGTGATGGTTCCTTATCTGTTTTTTTCTTCTTCCTAATCTTCGATCTACAATGTCTTCTTTGTTGGTCGCTGTTTCTTACTTCTCTACACCCGTATATCTCTGTTACAGCTTCCTCCCATCACATTATTATAGATGCTACGAATGTCTTGCTATTTTTTTTTTTATCTTAGCTCTTTCTTTCTCGGCTAGTCTCCTCTTTCTCATCACTTCTCCCTCTTTATTTTTCTTTTCTTTTTACTTTTGTCTTTGTTCCTATGCAGGTGGTCGTTCTTTTCCTTCATGTATTTTCTAATAATTATTATTCTTGGATGATATCCTTATGTCATGGTTTTCTGCCATCCCATTATTTTACGGATTTAAGGGCTTTTCTTTCTTTTTAATCTTTACTTTCTTTCTCAGCTTCTTTCCTTTCTCTTTCTAAAGGCTTCTATCTTTTTCATTGTTATATTTATTTCCACTTTTGCCGTTTTTCTAAGCCAGGTTTTCCTTCCTTTTTAATTTATACTAGCAGCATGGCCCGGCGTTGCCCGTGCTTGATTCAAAAATCGTACGACTCATACAGCAATCGCTATCACTTGACTTAAAATTTTTTTGCCCTTCCTTGCCTTTAAAAGAGTGTTCTTTGCCGTGCTGATGTTGCTACATGCCTTACTTCTTGCCTATTACACACTGCGAATTTTTTCCAAGCTCTATACTAAACATTAAATCTGTTACGAAAAAAGAACTAAACAAAATGAACACAAAACGATCAGCTTTAAAAAAAGGACTCGTAAATGGAAAAACCAAATGAAAAAAAATGTTAACAACAAATACTTTTTCACGCCTAATCTAATTCTGCGGAATTAGAATCAACGTTGAGTTTAAGCAAGCGAATGAGCCAATTAGAGTAAAGTGCCATGCAGATTTAAATTTTTCCCACTTGTGACGAATGCAGCTATCTATTTTATTTTTTCTTTGCATGCAAGCATGCTAGTTAACATTCAGTCAGTGTCAGTCAGCTGTTGGCTCTCACGCTGGCCAATAGAATCTTCCTGCCTGTTCGTGGCAGCCAGCTATTGGCTCTCATTCTGGCCAGTACAAAATGGCCGCAGACTACATGAAAACTGCCGAAGAAGCATGAAAAAATCGATTGTTTCCACTATCGATGGGAGTTGGGAAATGCAAAGTCGGTCTTGGCCTTCCCACTAACTTGGAGCATGTGCATGTATATTTTGGTGCAAATCCGTCGAAAATTGCGGCCGTGCATTCGTTACACACACACACACACACACACACACACACACACACACACACACATCCTGCCTTTTATAGATATACATTTTATTTAATATAATTTGTTATCCCCCACCTGACTCATCTAGAGCGTGCCTGATTGTTAATGGGAATCTTTTCATATTTTCCTTTATTCCTCTCCTCATAAATTAAGGCAGCAGAAATATGGTTCTATAGAGGAATGCTGAGAATACCATGCGAGGAACGATGATATTTTAGAGAAAACAGAAGCCAAATCTATACATATACTTAGCTTTAGAAAGAGAAAGTTGATATTTCTGGAGCATATAATTAGAAAAGAGGACATAGAATATTTAACATTCCCAAGACGTGTTGAAAGCACGACTGACAAAGAAAACCAGAGATTAGCCTATTAAACGAGTTTCTTCGAATTTTTGACAGAAAAGTAATTTAGAAAGACAACAAAAAGAAAAAAAAACTTTGTGAGGAGCTACAATGGATGGGAAGGTGTGTAAATATTCATGTAAATACCAATGTAGTATATAGCCGCCGTGCTCATATAATAAATATCTTTCTTGTTCAAGTTGCGGTGAATGGAGAGAGTGATGGGGGTGGGAAACAAAGAGGTTATGACTACCTACAGAAGAACTGAAGGAAAAATCTTCAGTGAGCATCTAGCCAACCTAGAGTCAGATCAAGAATCGGTCCGGTTAAATAACATTTTGACACCTACACAACGTGATTACACCTTCCTCCGGTAGCACACAAGCACGCATTTCCTTCCACTCAAAACTCCTGTGTGCACTGATTATTCTAGGTTCAGGGCACATATACGTCCTCTTTATTTTAACCATTGGATGCATTTCCTCTTTATGTTATCACCAGTTCCAATTTCCGCTCACAAACTGGTGCAATAGATGTAAGGGCAAACGTCTTTCCTCAACCGATATCCAATATTAAGTGAGGGCTGAATTCATTTTACTAATTTTCCATACCACAACACCAAGCATCATTTCCTCATTGTGTCTCTTCATTCGCGTTATATTTTTTATGATGCAATGTCGTATACTCTAACTTGTCTAATAAGTATGGGAACATATCTCCTGAGAGCGATATAAATTTTTGACATTTTCATTGTCTGGAGGGTACCGTTAGTACCCTCTGCTTTAGCACATAATCCTAGAAGATTGACATGAATTATAAAAACGTTTATGTTGCAGGGGTTTCTATAAATGTGGATTAGATCACTGCAAAAGTTCGTGCCCCATTAGGTAATTTATTTTGCTTATGCATTTCCTTCCCAATAAGGCGGGAGTGCTACTAGTACGCACGGGCAAAATTCTGGGTATTGGGGGGATCGGGAAAAGAAAAACGGAGATCGATAAAAAGAAGAACAGGAACAAGGCATCAGAAGATGTCGATTGGCATTACATTTAATTTTTTAAGATTAGAGTTATCAAGGTATCAATTAATGTAGTGCGAGAGAAGAAGCTATTGGAGTAGAGGAGGCGGTTATATTTAACTGTTTCAACAGTGAAAATGTGGGACCGAGATGCCAACATAGTAGCATGCTTGAATTCATGCAATTGGTGAACCATGAAAGTAGCTCGTCAGAGTAGATGCCATGAAAATATTTATAGAAAAGACAGAGGGAAGTCAGATTACGCCGATGCGGAGTCGAGAACCCAAGTCAGGACCGATCACACTACATATCCATCTTTGGATATTGTCGAAACCTTGAGATAAACAGCAGGAGCACCAGACCATATCTGGCAAAGGTATTCCATACATTGCCGAATGGGAGACTTGTACTATACGTTCATTTCGTTTTATTTCTAATGAAAAAAATTACAGCCTGACGATGAGAACATGAAGTTTTCGAAAGTAATTGCTACTCTAAAATGAATAATGTATAATGTATATGTTTTGGGAGATTTCGCCAGGGTAATTTTGACCTAAACAATCAACCACTATCCGGACGACCTTCCGATCCTTACGTATACAGTTGTTGTTTATCTGACAACAATTTTATACATAAGGTTCGCATCATTCTCTGGATTGTTACTATGTTAATGCTTATATTAAGTCTGTTAGCGAAGAGAATTCATTAATTACATTAATGTTACTAATTGATTCATTGTATAATTACCTCTTTATAATATAAGATATGCAAATGACCCAGTATTTATATAGACACGGGAAGAAGACTATAAGTGTTCATACAGATATTAGTTGAGGAAAGCGAGATAAAAGAATCAAATAACCACAAACTGCATGAAAGCCTGGCATAAGCCCAAAATGGAAATTACAAAGAAAGATACCAAACACCTCCAAGCACAAAAAATTAAATATCTGAGAAGTGTTCTAACAGAGGATGGAAAATGCGACATTGAAACCACAAGACGCACTGGGAAAGATGCCTTCCAAAAGCTAAGCAAAGTATTAAGTGATAGAAAACCTTTGTTAGAAACAAAGTAGTGTACTGAACTGTTACGTGATATCTGTCATATTGTATGGCAGTGAATGCTGGATAATTTACTCAAAGAATAGGAAGAGACTTGACGCAGCATAAATGCGGTTATACAGAAGGATGCTGAGGATACCATGAACTGAACATGTGAGCAACGACAAAGATTTAGAGAAAATAGAAACATAAATGAAAATTTTACTTAGCATCAGGAGGAGACAGTTGAGATTCCCAGGGCACATCATGAGGTAAGAGGGCTTGGAAAATCTGATACTCACAGGACAGAAAGAGAGGAAGAGAAACAGTGAAAAGCAACGTATATCAAGCGTGACGAATTTGAGAAAATGTATGTTGAAACAGGGTTTAGTAATAACGAAAAGATAGAATTTATTTAGAGCTCCAAGGGACATGAATTTGTGGAGAGCCATGATCCCCTACGTCCTGAGGGGAAACGGCGCATAAAGAAGAAAAATACATAATCACCATTGTTTTTAACAATTGCCACCCATCGTACATCACGCCTGTTGACGTCATTTTCATAGAAACATCGTTTTTTGTCTTTTTTTTTGTTTGTTTGTTTTTTGTTTTTTTAAGAAGAGAATTGTGATGTAGTTTACGAGTCAAATTATTTGTCAGTTAAATTGTTCTGTAGAGACGGGAATATCTGAAAGAGACAAGTCAAAAGAATACGGTGGATGTTGAAGTATTTTCCATTTCAAGGTTTGTTTTGCAAACATGCCGTCTTGTGTTGTCCTGGTGACATCTTTTCCATTTGCCAAATCGACAATTTTTTCTTGAATCTATCTCTTCAAGTAGCGGAAGGCCGTTGAGATATCGATTTTCAAAATCTTAGCAATCTCTTCCGATGAAATCCTCACCTTATTCTCCACAATGGCAAGCAGGGCGTCTTCATTCAGATCGGAAGGTCATTCGGATCGTGGTTAATCGTTTAGGTCAAAATCACACTGACGAAATCTCCAAAACCATATTTTGATCGTCCAAAACGCTGGGGCACGATCCAAATAAACCTTCTGAATGTTTTTTTATTTCGCAGTTCCGACACTTCATCCATCCCAAAATTCATCAATCATAATATGGCGAAAGTGCAACGTTTCATCTTTCATCTTAAGGGCATTCATTAGTAGAAAAGAATGTCAACAATCAACAACGTCGGCTTCGCAACTGAGCAATGCAAGTTTCTATCTAGAACACACCAAAAGAAACGATAATTTAAAGAGCTTACGGCCACATCACGTTGAAACTCCGGTTCCTGTTAGTTCACCGAAGTTACACAACGTAGAGCCTCGTTATTACTTTGATAAATGTCCTCTTGGGAATACCAGGTGCTGTAAGCTTAGGTGTTCGTGTAGTATGATGGTGTTCGGAATTGTTAATCGGAGAGTCAAGTACCATTTCCAATTGTATTCGTGATATTCACCTACGGGTAAATATCACTTTTCTCCCCGCCAGATAGGAATAAATTAGCAATCATTATTATCTCCTTCAAATAATTTTACGAACTGAAAATATTTTCTGGTTTTAAATATCACGCAAAGGGTTGATAAATCAGAAAAAAACGAATCAATCAAAAGAGTCAAACTCCAATGACTTCATTTAATCTTCTTAGACAACCATCTTTGTTTTCCATCTGTAAGGCTGATGCTAACCTCCAAGTGAGTGAGTGACTCATTGCGTCTTCTGGGGTTAACGTTTTTTTCCGTTTGCATGGAAAATAATAAGATAGGGAAAAGAGGATCAACTAAATGCAGATTATAAGGATATGCAGGTTAGATAACTGTTGACTCTGGATTCAAGAGGTTAAAATGATAGTGCACGAAGAATCATTACCTCAGTTACTTGTTGCATAAAGTAACGGTCCTCGGGAAGATGCCATATTCATGTAAATAAATCCTTCATACCAATGGAATACGAAGGGAATGATATTGATTCGATGCTGTGTGTATGGCATGAGGTACCCGAAGTTCGTCTGAATATTTCCCCTGGAAATAACGATAGAGTAGGATGCATTTCCGACGTTTCGTCTATTAGAAAAGTAGTGTAGAGCTGAAAACAATTCCTCACCCACAAAAAGAAAGACAAGTGTATATCAGTCAGTCTCTTTTGTGCCATGCGTGATACACACTTACGCGATCATATATCTTTCGATACATGACTGACGAGGCCGATTATTTCCCGCATTACGTTGCCATTTCTTCTGCCGTAGACCAGTTGCAGTTCAAGGCTAGAGAACTCGGTATGTCCTGCTATTTACCCATAGCTGGAGGGAGAACAGGGTTCATACACTTTGCACGCCTTAACTTTTTCTCCTTTGTTTTCTTTTCTTTCACTTGTAACCATTTTGACTTATGGTTTTCTAGACATATGTTGTCGTTGTTAAGTCTTGAAACTTAAATTATTTAGACAGTAATTTGGATGCATAATAATAGTCAATAAATATACGAAATAAATTACGAGGGAATAAATACGTAGTTGAATTACTACGTCCGTGGCCTCATAATTCAACTTTCACTCCTCAAATTTTTCTCTCTTTTTTGAGCCTTCCAGCTTCTAGATTTCTGGAATAAGATGTTGCATAATCACTTCATTCTTCATCTTGCATGTGTTGTGGCATTTTTTGACGTTTCCGATCAAAAACTTAATGAAGTGGGCGAACAAAAACTTTGTAACTTAATAACGCCTGTTTTTACTATTATCCTCGGCTCCAGGTTCACACAAGCTGGTCAGTTAGATTTACTGCAGGGACCTAGTTTGCATTCGACATATCCTGTGAGTGTGAAATCCTGTAAGACTTCTTTCATCATTATGATTCATTATGATATTTCAATTGTTTCTTTCGGTTTCTGTTTATAAATGTTCTTTTTTTTATTTTATTTATACGCATACATACTTGGAGTAATGGATAGCGGCTCAGATTAAGAAATCGAAGAGCCGAGTTCGAATTCCAGTCGAATCAATTACATTCACTTACTTGCTAATATCCTTGGGAAAGATATTAATCCTCTTCTTCTCTGTGGGTAAATTGCACAACAGACTGGGTTCTATAGCTTTGGATATTCCAGGAGAATTCAAACTTACGGGGGGTTGTTTTTGAACCTTGTGGTACGTAGTGCACCAGGTCTCTGTATTCGGTCGGTCCAGCACAAAGCCTTAACAAACTATCACGCATGGCACATAACTGACTTGCTAATACCCTTGGGAAATGTATGAATCCTCTTTTTCTCCCCCCAACTAGCAGGACAGATCGAGTTCGATAACCTTGGCTGGCGAATAGTCTACCGCAGAAAGAAATGGCAACCTACAGCGGGGAAAAAATTTTTTTTCATTAATCAGTTATTCCAACGATGCATCTTGTTTATATTTCAATGTTTATGTCGATATGTATTCCGATATATGAAAATATTGTTTGCGGTCCTGAAAATTATTTCGGCTATTTGTTTTTGCGGACTAACCACAGTACTATAATGATACTACAAATCACTCTAATGCTCTGAAAGATGATGACTGAACACACTTAAATAAATATGGCTCTCGTGACTTTATTGATAATTACTGCTCAATTGAAAGGCCGTTCAAATATATATATTTACTAAGTTGAAGTTATGACAACACCATTTTATTTATTTTTGTTTAATTATTTCACCCTAAGGAAGACGGAGAAACCACTAGTACACAGGGTTTTACAGGGAGTGAATGTGAGAGAAAAGACTGGGGTACAGGAAGGATTGAGGAAAGGACAAAAGATGAACATAGAAAATGGTGACTGACGTTATTTTTAAATTTTTAAACATTTTAATTATCAATGAAGCAAGGAAACAGAAGTGCTAGAGAAGCAACTGTTGGAGTAGAAGTAGCGGTTGCATTTAGCTACTTGGTGGGACCTAATAGCCAGTCTGCTAGCACGCGTAAATTCACATAGTCGGAATAATTGACTTGACTTGTATCGGTTTTCACCCTGGTCGGGTTGAACCGGCTTCCCCCGAGCAAGTACAGCAATTACTCGCCAATCCTAAGCCAGGTCGCACGAAATGGCGAGCCAATCGCAATTCCATCGTCGAAGACCAACTACTTGTGGACGCGATAGTATTGCTAGGTCATCGTTGATTGTACCAGCCCACGTCCTCAGCTGCCCACCGACACGTTTTCGCCAGCCAGGAAGTGAAGGAGGAGAAGTACATCGCGGATGAGCTCTCCCTCCGGGCGTCAAGCTGCGTGCCCGAACTATCGGAGACGACGCTGGAGCAGGGCGGGTGGAAGAGGACGGAGACTCAGGCGACGACGTAAAGTGGTTGTGGGCACACGATCGATTCGGCGGCATGGTAGAATGCAGCGAAGGCAATTGTTGCCGAACACTTCAAGCCTTCGTAGGTCAACCGCTCTAAGTGGCTACGTTTCGCAGCCATAGAGAAGGATAGGCCGAACAATAGCCTGATAGATGCGCCCCTTCTTAGCCGTGGAAATCTCCCGTCGCCCCCATAGTCGGAATACCAGAAAAAAAGCCCGTCAGAGCAGTTGCCATGGAAATATTTGTAAAAAAAAGACAGAGGGAAGCCACAGCACGTCAGTGAGAAAATAACTGGAGAGAATGTCACCAATACTAAGGATTGGACTCTCCATAGTATGATAAGAAGTATTTGGTCATCAGTCCTTCGTGGTCTTTACAGACTTAAATATCTGGGAGGTTTTTTTTCACAAAAGATGGAAACTGCAATAACGAAATCCGACAGGCTTCGCCTAAGGAACAGATGCATTCCAAAAGCTTAAAAAGGTACAAAGAAACTGGAACATATCGTTACAAACAGACAAACGTGTGCTGAATTTCTATACGATATCAATCCGCTTGAATTCAGGACAATCGTCACACGGACGAGAGGGAAAATAGATAAAACGAGAATCTGATTCTACAGAAGGATACTGAGAATAAGTAGCGAGCAAGCAAGTTTAAAAGAAAATGGTAACAGAATGTATCCATAGTAAGAATAAGACGGGTACTTAGACGTGGTGCAAAGTTTAACAAGTTTGGCCTGCTAAAACGATTAAAACTGACTAGGGAGTTCAAAGAGTTATCAGGGGTTAGAAATCGTGGAGAGTCATGATCACCCACGTGTCTGAAGAGAGGTGAAAGTTAGAAGAGGGTGTTCATTGCTCTTCTTACCTTTCTCATCTTATAACCGCTTTCTTTTTCTTAATGCAGATCTAAACCAAACGGCGTTCGTTTTCATTGGCTTCATCTTCGTTTCGTTAGGTGTGCTTTTTCTCTTTCTGATAATCTCCTTTCTTGTTTCCAACCCCCGTGTCCTTATTCCATTAGAATAACCGCATTCATTCGCTTAGTTCTGTCGGCTTTTATATTCCCTGGTGTACCATGCTGTGATAATAGGTTCTCAGGTGATCTATGGCTGCGGCTCTTTTATGATGTGTGACTGAGCCAATGTCTTTAAAATGACCAATAGCCACAATGTCAGCTGATGCTCTTCCATTATCCAAGCAGAGAGGGCTGGTTTTTGCTTCACAATAACCAACAGCTCAAGATAAATATATACTACAGCGCACGGGCGTGTGAGATTATGGTATTTTATTGAGATAGAAAGCGTATGTACGTGTTTAATTTTACGAGAATCTTTGGAAAAGCCAGCCTCTGTGAGGATTGGTAACGGATATAAAATACATTGTGGTGCTACTGCCTGGACAGTTAATATGAGAATGGGCATACAGAAATTGGTCATGGTTAAATGTATTTGGCAGAAATACCCAACAAACAGAACTTACAGAGTTTGCAATAAACAATAACAAGAGAAAGAAAAGAAAAGAATCGGACAAAGATAATATTAAGGAAGCAAACATTATACATGAAAGGCAAAGCCACTGTAGTAAGTCAAAACAACAGAAATAAGGCAAGAATTTCACAAAGAATAGTGTTAACACCCAAAAGAATATACAGATAAGAGATCGCGGCGTTCTGGCTTCAAGACAAGATAAGAACGGAACTAATTTGGAGGAGACAGAGGAGTGACCTCTATTATCGTCTGGTAAAAAAATCCCAGGATGCATCGTGTTGTGGATTCCGGGTTGAAATCCGGTACCAATAAATAACAAACACCAAGAATGAATATAGGAAAATAATGTATTAACGTAATAATACAAACTGGTAATGCAGGTTAGTAATTCCAGGAATACGGGTTAGTAGCAGAATATGTATACAGTCTTTGGTATTGAAGTATCGCTGTATGACTTCTTACTGAGTCTACGTGCTCGCTCAGGGTGACTCTTGCTCGCTACGTTCGTTCTGTCTGTCTGTTACCTTGCTCTCACTCTTCCGGTTACCTACAACCTTT